TGCACATGTACGTTGATTGTTTTCTAGGTCACCATTCTTTGATTTCATAGTTCATTTCACCTCATTTTGTAACTTTTTGTAATACTTCTCTCTGTTACTTTTAATTTTGATTGATTGTGATGATGTTATCACAGACTGATATCAGTCCATGGCTTGAGGCTAAGCCTGATCTGACAAATGTGGAAGACGTCAGAACAGCAATCGAAAGTCTACGATTACGACTTCGTCAAAGGCTGGCAGACAAGAAGGGCTTGGAAGAGGTTGGTTTAAAGTATACAATAATATGGAAAGTCGACTGAAATACAAGCTACAAACTGTTTGGAGGGTCTACAACAATTTTATTTTCCTAGATATGGCTTATGCCGGGCAGGAGGGAGGAAAAATCAAAATAAAGACAAGCAGATAATTTTCTAGTGTGAGAAATTCCCAGTCTGTAACCACCATGGCTGACATTCCCATACACCCATGCTTAAAATGAGCAATTTGTGGAAGTACGAGCTAACAAACCTTCTAGTTAGCCTTTACCCAAATACCCATAGTTTTGTAAACTACGGATGCAAAGTTTCAAAAATTGTCCCAAATCCACGTAAGGTTGTAAGTCTTGTGATAGACAGTCAGTAACGTGACTGTGTAATATATACATTATTTTAACATTAAAATCTCATTATTATGATCAATATCTGATGTGGAGATGATCTTTCTTATAACTATTTTGTAAGAGTGGAGTAACATTTAAGTCATGGTAATCCTTTGTCATATTTTATAGCAGAATGAAAAAGAAAGTGTTGAAGAACTGCAACAGGTAGTTTTATGCTCTTGAATCGAGCTAGGAAAGAAAACTTCTCAAACCTTTCTCACCATCTATACCCAAAAGTATTCACTTCATCATAATCGAACAGTTATAACTTATAAAGCATCCAAATATGTTAATTTCAATGGCAATCTTGTCATGTGCCAATCATGACGTCATATTATTCCAAAATGACGTCATCTATTAGAAAAACCCCGCCTAAATTTATTTCCAATTTTTTTCAGTAATTTCAGATAACTATCAAAATGTATGTTCAATAAATAAGACAAATTTATTAAAACACAAGATCTAGAACTGTAAAGATTAGGGATTAAATATTAGAAGAATTGGGGATTAAGGTCTCCATAAAAACCAGAATCTCACTAAAACATATTTTTTAGCTGAAATTATACCAAATTTCGTTAAAACACTCTTTGAAAACATTGATGCCCTAGAAACGTTCAGTCGTACAAAACAAACGATTGACCTACCAAAATGTTTCCTGATATATTTTAGGAAAAACTGTTTTAAGGCATTGTTGTTGCTTAATGCCTTTTAATTAAGTAAGATACGTTTGAAATCTGCATGTCCAAGCAGGGTCAAGAAAACTCACGCTCCTTGTAAAATCTAATTTTGCAATAAAATGTAAAGCAAATGTGAAATTTTGTACTGTTGATTTATTTTAGTGAACATGGGACATTGTTGTTGTGTCATGGTCATGTAACTTTTGTGTATCGGCCTCACTTCAATCGAATACTTTTGTTTTAATTTTTTTTTTTTTTTTACATTATAGGTTGAAAGTGACATTTCTGACATATATTTGCAACTACACCAACGTTTTGAGGATGAAAATAAATTTTTGGTAAGTACAGCATCTT